TCAAAGAAGAAATAAAGAAAGAAATTAAGGACTTCCTAGAATTCAATGAGAATGAGGACAAAGCATACCCAAACTTAACATGACACCTTGGAAATACTGCTACCAGAGAAGTTCATTGCACTAAGTGCCCATATGAAGACGGAGGAAATTAGAGAATTAACAACACAACTGAAAGCCTTAGAACAAAAAGAAGCAAACTCACCCTGGAGGAGTAGATGTGAGGAAATAACCAATTTGAGGGTTGAAATCAATACAGTAGAAACCAGGAAAACAATACAAAAAAAAAATCAATGCAACAAAGACTTGGGTTTTTTAAGAAATAAACAAGATAGACAAACCTTTATCCAAACTACCCAACAAGGAGAGAGAAAACAGGCAAATTAACAAAATCAGAAAGGGAAAGGGGGACATAACAACAGACACTGAGGAAATCCAGACAGGTCATACTTTGAAAACATGTACTCCACAAAATTTGAAAATCACAAAACTTGAAAATTCAAAGGAAATGGACAAATTTCTGGATAACCATCATTACCAAAATTAAATCAAGAACAGATAAGCAATTTAAATAGGTCTATAACTCCCACTAAAATAGAAGCAGTCATGAAAAGACTCCCAACTAAAAACTGCCCAGGGCCAGATGAATTCAGTGCAGAATTCTACCAGAAATTCAAAGAAGAGCTAATACCAATACTCCTCAAATTGTTCCACAGTAGAAGCAGAAGCTTCATTAACAATCTCATTTTACCAGGCCACAACTCTTGGTACCCAAGCCACACACAGACACAACTAAGAAAGAAAACTACTACAGACCAGTATCCCTCATGAACATTGATGCAAAAATAAACAATAAAATACAGGCAAATTGAATCCAAGAACACATCAGAGAAATCATAAACCATGACCAAGTAGGCTTCTTCCCTGGGTAGCATAAATGGTTCAACATATGAAAATCTATCAATGTAATCGACCATATAAACAATCTAAAAAACAAAAACCACTTGATCATCTCAACAGTTGCTGAAAAAGCCTTTGAAAAAATTAAACACACTTTCATGATAAAGGTCTTGGAGAGATCAGGGATAACAGGAACATACCTAAAGACAATAAAAGCAATATACAGTAAACCAACAGCCAACATCAAACTGAATGGAGAGAAGGTTAAGACGATTCCTCTAAAATCAGGAATGAGACAAGGCTGCCCTCTCTCCACATATCTCTTCAATATTGTACTTGAAATTCTAGCTAAAGCAATAAGACAACAAAAGGAGATCAAGGGGATATAAATTGGAAAGGAAGAAGTCAAACTGTCATTATTTGCAGATGAATTGATAGTTTACATAAGCGACCCAAAAAACTCTACCAGGGAACTCCTACAGCTTATAAACTCCTTTAGCAAATTAGCAGGATACAAGATAAACGAAAAAAAAAAAAAAAAAAAAAAAACAGTAGCCCTACTATATACAGACAACAAAGGGGCTGAGAAAGAAATCAGAGAAACATCACCCTTTATAATTCCCACAAACAACATAAAGTATTTTGGGGTAACACTTAACAAACAAGTGAAAGACCTATACAGCAAGAACTTTGTGTCTTTAAAGAAAGAAATTAAAGAAGATACCTGAAAATGGAAAGATCTCCCATGATCTTGGATAGGTAGGATAAGCATAGTAAAAATAAAAATCTTGCCAAAAGCAATCTACAGATTCAATGCAGTTCCCATTAAAAACTCAGCACAATTCTTCACTGACTTTGAAAGGATAATAATCAATTTTATAGGGAAAACAAAAGACCAAGGATAGCCAAAACAACCCTATACAATAAAAAAACTTCAGGAGGCATCACCATCCCCGACTTTAAGCTCTACTACAGAGCTGTAGTCCTGAAAACAGCCTGGTATTGGCACATAAATAGACAAGTAGACCAATGGAATTGAATCGAAAATCCTGACATTAACCCACACACCTATGAACACCTGATTTTTGACAAAACAGCTAAAAGAATACAATGGGGCGAGGACAGCATCTTCAACAAATGGTGCTGGCACAACTAGATGATGGTGTGTAGAAGACAGCAGATAGATCCATGTCTGTCGCCATGCACAAAACTCAAGTCCAAATGGATCAAAGACCCCAACATAAATCCAGTCACACTAAACCTCTTAGAAGATAAAGTGGGAGGTATCCTTGAACAAATTGGTACAAGAGACCACTTCTTGAACATAACTTCAGTAGCACTGACACTGAATTCGACAATTAATAAATGGGATCTCTTCAAACTGAGAAGCTTCTGTAAGGCAAATGACGCAGTTGACAAGACCAAACAATAGCTCAAAGACTGGTAAAAGGTCTTCACCAATCCTACATCTGGCAGAGTGCTGATCTCCAAAATATATAAAAACTCAAGGAACAAGTCACCAAATCACCAAATAACCCTAATAAAAATGGGGTACAGAACTGATTTCTCAATAGAGGGAATAAAAAAGGCTGAAAGATACTTAAGAAAGTGCTCAACATACTTAGCTATCAGGGAAATGCAAATCAAAACAACTCTGAGATACCATCTTACTCCTGCCAGAATGTTTAAAATTAGAAACACCAATGACAACTTATTCTGGAGAGGATGTGGAGAAAGGGGAACACTCCTCCACTGCTGGTGGGAGTGCAAACTTGTACAGCCATTTTAAGAGATCAGTATGGCAGTTCTTTGAGAAAATGGGAATCAATCTACCACAGGACCCGTTAATTCCATGCACATGATGCATATCCATGAAACAAAGACATCTGTTCAGCTATGTTTGCAGCAGCATTATTTGTAATAGCAAGAACCGGGAAGCAACCTATATGCCCCTCAATTGAAGAATGCATAAAGAAGATGTGACACATTTACTCAATGGAATACTACAATGCGGTGGGGGAGGGGGATACAATGGAATGTGGAAATTTTCAGGCAATTGGATTAAACTTGAAGAAACCATCCTAAATGAGGTAACCCAGCCATAAAAAAGGGGAACATGGTATGTACTCACTCATATATGGATTTTAGACCTAGATCAAAGGATCACCAGCCTATAATTCACACTGCCAGAGAAACTAGGATACAACAAGGAATATAAAAAATTCATATAAGGCCCCTCACAAAGGGGGAAAGGGACAAGATCTCCTGAGCATATTAGGAGTTGGGGGACAGTGAGTGGAAATGGAGCTAGGAGAAAGAGAAGGGGATGAGAGGAAAGCATGTGGGACTAGGAATATTGAATCTGGGGAGGAATAGATGAGAGGAGAGGGGGGGAGCAGAGAAGAGGGAGCCATTATAGATTTGAACAGAAAACTGACTCTAGAGAAATGTCCAGAGACCTACAAGGCTGACCCCAACTTACAATTTGAGCAACAGTGGACAGTCTACCATAAGTGCCCTTTTCTGATATTGAGATTGATGACTAACTTATCCATCATCACAGAGCCCTCATCTAGTAGCTGATGGAAACAGAAAGAAACACCCACAACTAAACACTGTGCCGAACTGGAATCCAGATGCAAAGAGGAAGGACAAGACCAGGCTACAGAAACACACAGAGACAGCTGACCTGAACAAGGAGGAGATAATGGGCCCCCAGACTGATAATTGGGAATCCAGCATTGGACTGACTCAGACCCCCTGAACATGGGTCTCAGTTAGAAGGCCTGGAAAGACTAAGGGACCTCTGATAGTGGAACCAGGATGTATCCCTGGTTCACAAAAGGATTTTGGGAACACATTCCCCATTGAGGGATACTCCCTTAACCTAGAGACAGGAGAGAAGGCCTAGTTCCTACTCCAAATGACTTGACAGATTTAGATGATCCCACCTGGAATGCATCACCCTACATGTGGAGTGGGAGAGAAATGGGAGGGGAGGGTAGTCAGGTGGGAGTGTGGGGGAGAGAGAGGGAGAGGGGAGGTGGAAGGGGGTACTGGGGTCAATATGTTAAATAAGAAAAATAATTAATAATAATAATAAATTGACATTAAGTACAATAACTGTGTATCAAGTTGACAAAGGCTAAGCTTGTGATTGCTAATCTTGGTTATCTATCTGACTACACCTGGAATCACCTAAATACCAAGCAGCTAGGCATTTTCTTAATTACATTATTTGAAGTAGGAAGACCCACCCTAAATTGTGGACAGAAGTTTCTGATCCATCTGGGCCCACAGCTGTTTAGTCCCAAATAAATACATAGAGGTTGATATTAATTATAAACTGTTTAGCAAATGGCTCAGGCCTCTTAGTGGCTAGCTCTCTCTTAATTATTAACCCATTTCTACTAATCTATATATCCCCATGGTCTTGGCTTACAAGAGTATTTCCAGGTGTCCTACCTTCCTTATAACTTGACACCACTTACTATTATCCCTCTCTGTCCCTATTTGGGTTCCCACCTGGATAAATCCTTTCTGTCCATTGGCTGAAACAGCTTTATTCATTAACCAATAAGAGAAACATATATTCACAGCATACAGAAGTACATCCTCCATCATCTCCTCTTTTCTGTCTAAATAAAAGGGAGGATTTTAACTTTAACATAGTAAACTTATATATAACAAAACAATTATAAAGAAAAAAACTATAGTTAACCATTTTTAGCCCACTAACATTTGGCAAAATTTAAAGAAAATGTTCTATCATCTATTCTATCTTTGTGAGTCCAAACTTTTATGGGTAACTTATCTTTCATTATAACTAAGGAAAATCATAACTGCTTTATTTATCAACCAATAAGAGAAATATATAGTCACAGCACACAGAAGGACATCCCCCATTATTAATCTCATCTATTCATTCTAAACCAAGAATCATGAAGGAAAAAAATAAGTTGTACTGATGTAAAAATCTAAGTAATATGAGATATATTGTAAATACATATGTATATATAATGTTTTTTCTTATTTTACATATCAATCCCAGTTCCCTCTCCCTCCCATGCCCCCAAAACTCCTCCCATCCCTTCTCCCCCCACTCCACAGAGATATGTTGTTCTTTTTGATAACTAAAAACATTTAAATAGAAAGGGAGGTAAGGACCATGTCAGACACACATACATCAAATAAACATAGATGGTAGGAAAATCCAGTAAAATATTTTTAAATGAAAATATTAATGCCAAAATTAATTTATCTAGGCAAATACAGGCAGTACTAATTAAAATCAATTATTGTGGTTTATAACATGTAAATTTCTGTCACCTTTGTACATCATGTTAATTCAATCTATCTCAAATATTCATTTGAATTATTAAAATTTTCCAACCTAAGCCAGAAAATACTTCAAGTGTCTTTTAGTCTTTCATGAGATGAGCAAAAATATTCAGAATTTACATGCTGTTTTCATTTTAATTACTAATCACTCATTGGTTTGAGTAGATGGTAATGAATAAGAGAAGCCTCCCACATTCTGTCAATAAGTACTGAATTTTTTTCTAAATGCCATTATTCCCATTTCCTCTGGTTATCAATTAGATTCTCTGGTATCCCAATGACTGGTGCCTTTGGTGGATTTTGTAGACAGCCAGACCCACAACACAGAGGATGACCACGATGGCCCCGACCACAGGAAGCACAACTGTGTAGTCAGACAAACACTCATCCACTACGAGAGAAAAAAAATATAATAGAGCAGGTAAGATTTGGTGATGATGGGGGGTACCCTGTGGCCAGGATGTAAAATAAATAAATGAATATATATATATACATACATACATACATATATGTATATATATATATATTATGAATAGTGTTGGGGAAATTTCCCTCTGGTGCCTATTGTCATAATTCTAAATATAAAAAAGTAAATCATGGAATTTCTTAATTGATTAGTTGTAGACTTTCTGCTACAGCAGATAAGAATTTGCAGCAATAACAATATTTTGGAAAACTACTAATATATTATATTATAACCCTGTGTGATGATGTGAATGAAAATAGCCCCATAGACTCATTGGGAGTGGTACTATTAGGAAGTGTGGCCTTGGGGGAGTAGGTGTGGTCTTGTTGGAGGAAGTGTGTCACTAAGGGCAGGCTTTGGAACCTATGGATGTATAGATATAGAACTCTCAGCTCCCTCTCTAGTACCCTGTCTTTCCGCATGCCACCATGCTTCCCACCATGACAATAGTGGACTAAAACATAAGCCAGTCCTGCCCCCAGCTATGCTCTCCTGTTTATCTACAATAAACCTCCTCCACCATACATAGAACAGTCATGTACTTCTTTTTTATTTCTCTTTTTCACTTAACTAGAAGAGAAACCACAAAGTTGATTATTGTGAGAGACCTGGGCTATGTGTTTTTGGTAGATTTTTGTGGAAGAAGATTGGAATTTTGTTCTGGAAAAGTCATAGATGGTCATAGCTTAATGGGATGTTCTGTGAACTGGAAAAATAATCAGAATGCAATGCAAACAACAAAAACCTGGCTTGTGAAGCTCCAGAGGGAAGTAAAGAGTCTGTCAGAGATATCGTGTGAAAACTTGAATTAAAAACCTGTGGTAAGCTGGAGATGAAAAATTAACTGGTTAACAAGAAAAAAAAAACTACTAAAATGTAAACTTTCCTTTCCTGTAATAATTTGTAGCAGTCTAAAGAATCATCTGTGATTAAAAAGGGATGAGCATCATTCAGGTAAAATCTTTTGGAAGTATTTACTCAGGGTCAGCACACAGAATCGGTAGTCCAGAAGGGGCCAACCCTGCTCCTTGTGCTGGCAGCCAAATTGGAAACATAAAAGAGTTTCCCAGGTATCAAAGTTTGTGGGAGTAAATAACCAATGTCTGATTTATTTAAGGCTCACTCCATGATATAGAATCCATCCCTAACACTGCTCAGGTGTGAAGAACCTGAGACTAGATAGGTATATAGCTAGGGGGAAACCAAATACTACTGTTCTGATAAAGGAATATGGAAATAAAATTACTCCTAGCAACATTCTGCTATATTCATAGATTAGTGTCTTGCTCAGTAATCATCAGAGAAGCTTCTTCTGGCAATAGAAAGGAACAAACACAGAGACCCACAAGTGAACAATGTGCAGAGAGACCTTGGAACACAGTAAATGGTGAATCTCCATCAAATTCATCCCCTCCCCTCAGGGCTCGGAGAATTATGTAGAAAAAGGGAGATGGAAAGACGGTAAGAACCAGAGGGGATGAATGACACCAAGGGAATGATGTCTTCCAGATACAACAGGACTGACGCACATATGGACTCACAGAGTCTGTGGCAGCATGCATAGGGTCTGCACAGGTTCTAGCCAGATGGGTCCCAGCACTGAGAGAGGAAGGAGACACAACCCACACACACATAAGCCTCCTTCTCCAAGAAACTCTCTAATTGCTTGCAAAGGAAAAATGGGTTTTCTCTAATGAAGTCTCACTGAGTATATAAACCACACTAAAAGGCAAGCTTCATGCCCAGTAGTAAACAACCGACACAAAATGAACGTTTAGACGTTTTGGTTTTTTTTTTTTTTCTTTTTTATTCCTTACTTTACAGATGTTTTATGTATGTGTTATGGCTTCTGATTTTATGGTCTGTGCTTTTAAAGATGTCTATGTGTGTAAATGTATGCATCTCTGGATCTATATGTTTCTTGTGCTTTTTTTTCTTTAACACTTTTTCTTCTGTCTGTTTTTTGTTCATTTGTTTGCTTGTTTTGTTTTGTCCTATTCCAGTGTATTTGTCTTTATTTTATTTTATTATTACTATTTTTAGATACCATTTTGTTTTCTAATGCAAGAGAGAAAGAAAGGGTGTGGAATTGGGTGGGAGAAGAGGTAAGGAGTGTCTGGAAAGATTCTGAGGAGGAGAAATAGTAACCAAATTGTAGTATATGAAAAAATATTTTCAATAGAAGAATAGAAACTAAAAACAGGAGTCTCCACATGGTGTTTTTGAAGACATGAAGGAGTCGTGTGATGGGAGATGTCGTTATGTAAATATGTTTCTCTTATTAGTTAATGAATAAAGCACTGTTGGCCAATAGGAAAGCAAGATAGGCGGGACTAGGAGACAAGGAGGATTGGAGGAAGTGGGAGGGAGGAGATCCAAGATGGAGGATGGAGAAAGAAGAATGCCAGCCCCTCTCTCCAGTAAGATAAGACCATGTAGAAGTACTTAGATTAATAGAAATGGGTTAATATTTCAGACAGAGCCAGCTGATAAGAAATTAGAAACAGGCCAACAGCATTGTATCTAATAAAGCGTCTCTGTGTGTTAATTGGGGATGGTGCGGCTGTGGGACCACACCTGTGGGGAAAAACCACTCATAACAATATGGTGCTGCAACGTGGCTAATAAGAACTTCCACTTAAAATTTAACAAAAGCTTTAAAAATGGTTTTAGAAACAAAAGAACAGAGAAAAGCAAGGTTTCTTGATCGCAGCATTTTTCTCAGTTGGGCTCTGTTTTGCTAGAGACAAGCAGAGACTTGTGCGGCTCCTTTAAGGGAGGTTTCCTGACTCAGCATAAGTGGCAAAAAACCTCAAGGCTTTTAAAGAGTTCTGCTAACAACTTAATGGTGTGTACGAGAGCTGGCAATGATAGTGACCACATTTCCAAGCTGGCAACATGCTGCTGGATGGCAGCGTAGACCAAGGTAGTGAGCACATCTCTCAATTCTGGCAGTAAACGTACCTGCCGCCATCTTTGGTAGACTGCGGCTAACACAGCTGTGGCTTTCATTTTAGTAATGTTGTTTACCAGATAAAAGACTAGTGGCCAGAAAAAGATAAAGATTTACAGTAAAGGCAGATTCAGATTAAGGAAAACCTCTAAAGGTTTACAGTGTGTCTTAAAATATATGTAGGCTTGCGAGAGAAAAAGAAACAGGATATAATGGTTTAAAAAAGAATAATAAAAAAGAAGTAGAGTAACTGGGTGTGGTGGCACATGCCTTTAATTCCAGCACTCAGGAGACAGAGGCAAGCAGAGCTCTGTGATTTCAAAGTAAACCTGGTATACAGAGTTAATTCCAGGACAGATAAAAGTTACATAGAGAAACCCTGTCTCAAAAAGTGAAAAAATAGAAGTAGAAGAAATAGAGTAATAAAAAAGCCACATAAAGATGGAAAGCACAGAGAGAATATGGACACTGTACGGTATTATATTATCTTTGTATCTTTTGACTGCTGAGGAAATAATAACTGTTAAAAGAAATGCTGCTGAATTAATTCAATTTATATATTTTAAAAATTCTTTGACTCCAAAATTCAAGTCTAAGGACAGGTTACTAGAGAAAGGGATTTCTACTTTTGTTTCCACAGAAAATGAAAAGCTGTGGATTCCATCCAGACTAACATGGTTTGATCAAGCAAGACCCCCTGAAGCATTGTCCATGGGACAAGGCAGCCTTGCAGACCACTATAGCCAGGATTTGTGCATCTTCTTAGGCTCCCCATGACAGCGTCCCCTACCAGCAGGAAGCAGTTTGGAAAGAACGATGTCCAAATTCCCAAATATTGTTTATAAATATTTGTTTTCATTTATATTGGCTTGGTTGTAAATGGTTAAGGACCACAATCTTTTTAAAGGTAAAAAGGGGATTATGGTATAGATATGAATACTTTGATTGGAATGGATTTTCATTTGATACAATTTAAGGTCAATTTTATGATATGTATAATTCTTCTCTTTGTTTAAGTATTCTGTTTATATAGCTCATTTTAAAATGTACTGTATAATTTAGTACAGATTATAGATAGTTACTTATAATAGTTAAAACTTATAGTTAGGTAAATTAGGTTCTCTAGATATATAAAGATATATTTGAGATGGATGGGCATTCTTCAAACCTGTCAAAGAATATGGCATTTCAAACAGTTTAGGGTTTTTCTTGACAGTTAGACATAACTGCTCCTGACAAGACCACCTGCATTAGGAAGGAAAATGGTCATCAAAGAACCATGTTATGGAGTTTACTTCCAATATGGTAAAACTAGCCATTTGGACAAGATACTACTTTTGTCTAGACTGTTTGACTTTATGCTGTATAAACTGGACATGCAGGACGCACAGGAAAGTGACTGCTGATACAAGATGGACATTGCTACAGGATTTCTGCTTCATGGAAGAGTCTGCCATACAGTCTACAGGACACAGAGAAAAGTGACTGACAAACTGCCAATACAGGTAAACATTTTAAAGTTTCTTGCTTTGCTGAAGAGTCTGCCAGACACACTATGGCCTTTAGGCTGAAGATGGAACATTACAAAAGAACTTCAGGTGACTGATCAGGTAGCAAGATGACTCTGTCATTTCTAGAGTTTATATATTATCCTTCTGTGGTCTTTGATGGAGTTGAAGACAGATAGTCATGGTTATAGTTTTCCTTAGTTAGGATTAAAGATAAATTACATATAAGACTTTAGACTCACAAAGATAGGATAGATGATGGAATATTTTCTTTAAATCTTACTAAATTAGCTAAATATTATTAACTATGATTCTTATTTGATAACTGTTTTGTTACATATTTTGCTATGTTAAAGTTAAAACCCTTCTTTTTATTTTACACAGAAAAGAGGAGATGATGTCATTCTGTAAATATGTTTCTCTTATTGGTTAATGAATAAAGCACTGTTGGCCAATAGGAAAGC